GGAGCCTGCCCAGTCCAGGCCGCCGGCCCGAGGCCACGGTTCTCCCGGCGGGAAAAGAGCAGGAGCCCGGCCGGTGTGGCTCAATGGTTAGAGCACCGGCTGCGGCCCGAAGGGTCCCCGGGCGCGTGAGGGAGGCAATACTTCATGTGTGTCTCTCTCACATCGATGTTTCTCTCTGTCTCTCCCTCTCCTTTTCACTCTCTCGAGAAATCAATGGGAAGCCCTGGCCAGTGTGGCTCAGTGGGTGGAGCGTCGGCCTGCGGACCGAAGGGTCCCGGGTTCGATTCCCGGTCAAGGGCACGTGCCCGGGTTTCAGGCTCGATCCCCAGTAGGGGGCGTGCAGGAGGCAGCCGGTCCATGATTCTCTCTCATCATGGATGTTTCTCTCTCTCCCTCTCCCTTCCTCTCTGACATCAATACAAATATATATTAAACAAAAATAAATTAAAAACCTCAATGGGGAAAAAATACCCTTGGGTGAGGATTAACCAAGAAAAAAGAAGAGAGAGAAAAAAGAAAGAAAGAAAGAAAGAAAGAAAGAAAGAAAGAAAGAAAGAAAGAACAAGCAGAGCGGGTCCCGTCCGCACAGTGGAATAGTACGCAGCCATGAAAAAGGAGGCCGGCCCTGACCCAGCCGACAACGTGGATGCGCCTTGAATACAAGATGCTCAGTGAGAAAGCCAGACACGCAAGATCCATTTACTTATTTTATTTTTTTAATTAATTAATTTTTAAAAAATTTTTATTGATGTCAGAGAGGAAGAGACATGGAGAGATAAAAACATCCATGCGGAGAGAGAATCACGGACCGGCTGCCTCCTGCACGCCCCCTACTGGGGATCGAGCCCACAACCAGGGCATGTGCCCTTGACCGGGAATCGAACCCAGGACCTCAGGTTCATAGGTCGACGCTCTAACCATCGAGCCACACCGGCTGGGCTGATTCAATTTTTGTGGAACATTCCAGAACGTGCAAATCTGTGGGCACCCCCAACCTCCAGGGCCACCCGGCCCCATGCCTGTCCCCCCAGGTACGGCCGCCCGCCCACGCTCTTACCTCCGGGAAGGCCACACCGGTGCCCGCCACCTCCCTTTTCACCTGGGGCACCGGAGGGAATAGCTTGCGTCTCAGGGAGAACCTGGGGGTGGGAGGGGGAGGAAGGAAGAGAAATTGTGAGGGACCCGCCGGCTCTGAGTCTGACCCCAGAGGCACCAGGCTCCTCCCCGATCAACCCAGCGGCCAAGTTCAGGTCGTGTGGCCTGGACGCCATCCACCCGGGAATCCCGCTTCCTGCCGAATGGGGATGGGGTTGTGGGACACGGATGGCGGGGAGCTGGACCCCACACCCTAAGGCAGTGATGGCGAACCTTTTGAGCTCCGCGTGTCAGCATTTCGAAAAACCCTAACTTAACTCTGGTGCCGTGTCACCTATAGAAATTTTTTTGATATTTGCAACCATAGTAAAACAGAGATTGATATTGTTGATATTTATTTTCTATATTTAAAAGCCATTGGACAAAGAAAAATCAACCAAAAAAAATGAGTTCGCGTGTCGCCTCTGACACGCGTGTCACAGGTTCGCCATCACTGCCCCAAGGGCAACTATGGATAGACACTTGCTTTGCTGTTGTCTCTTTGCAAAAAACAGATCTTTGGGGATAGAATGTGGCTTTAGGTCCCGGACAAGGGTGACTTGGGCCTGTTTCAACAGCCGGAGGGTTGAGGTGTCAGCTGTGCCAGGGGGTTAGACTGGGGCGGCAGCTCCGGCTCCATTTTCAAAAAAAATATATTTTAAAAAAATTGATTTCAGAGAAAAAGGGAGAGGGAGAGAGAGAGAGAAACATCCGTGATGAGAGAAAATCACGGATCGGCTGCCTCCTGCACGCCCCCTACTGGTTGGGGATGGAGCCTGCAACCCGGGCCTGTGCTCTTGACCGGGAATCGAACCCGTGACCGCCTGGTTCATAGGTCGATGCTCAACCACCGAGCCACGCCGGCCGGGCTGACCTTCAATTTTATTTATTTATATTTTTTTTTGTGAATCCTCACCTGGGCATATTTTCCCATTGATTTTTAGAGAGAGTGGAAGAGAGAGAGAGAGAGAAATATTAATGTGAGAGAAACACATTGATGCGGTTTCCTCCTGCACATGCCCCAACCAGGGCCCGGCTCGGACCTGGGAGGAGCCTGCAACCCCTGGTACCTGCGCCCGGCTCGACCTGGGAGGAGCCTGCAACCCCTGGTACCTGCCCTTGACTGGGAATCGAACCCGGGACCCTTCAGTCCGCAGGCCGGCGCTCTATCCACTGAGCCAGGGCCCAGAGCGTAATGTTTTTGAGTTTTTTGTGTGTTTGTTTTCTCGGTGAGCGGGGGTGGGGATGGGGGTCTGGGGAGGGGGGAGTTACCTCGTGCAGAGAAACATGAAGACGGTGATGACCAACGCGGCCACCCCCACCACCATCCCCAAAAGGGCACCGGGGAAGCCGCCCACATCCTGGTCTGGGAGGCCTGCAGTGGGCGGGGAGGAGGAGAGGGGGGTCAGAAGGGACCCCAGTCTGTTTCACACACATCCCTCCTCCCCCATCGAATTAGAAGACAAATATGAGGTGAGAGAGTGTGGTCAGAGGAAGAAGGGCGGAGGGGACCCCAGGGACCCCAGGAACATGGACACAGAGAATATCTCCTTATTGGGGTCCTGTATCCACCCCTCCTCACTGTCACCCCACACCCCCCCCTCATTGTCTCCATGCCCAGCTCACAAGACTGAACCCGCCCAGCACCAGCTCTTTCTTTCTCATAGGCAAAAAAAAAAAAGAATGTCTAAGTGTGAAATGTGAGGGGACAAGGCCAAAGGAGTGAGTGTGTGAGCGTGAAATGTGCAGGGACAAGGCCAAAGGAATGAGTGTGTGAGTGTGAAATGTGCAGGGACAAGGCCAAAGGAATGAGTGTGTGAGTGTGAAATGTTCAGGGACAAGGCCAAAGGAATGAATGTCTAAGTGTGAATTTAGAGGTCATGCCCCGTGTGCCCCCCAAATGGATCCCGAGGGATGGCTGGGCCAAGGCAAGCGGGGATCCCCACCCTGTGAGTTTTTTGTTGTTGTTGTTATTTTTAGTTTTTTTTTAGTTTTTTGTTGTCGTTTTTGTTGTTGTTTTTAGTTGTTTTTGTTGTTGTTTTTTGTTGTTGTTTTTAGTTGTTTTGTTGTTGTTGTTTTTTTTTGTTGTTGTTTGTTCGTTTTTGCCAGTTCTATGGGGCCAGCCTATTAGGAGGCTGTGCAAGGGATGCTGAAAACTGCATCGCCCTGTGCTTATGGGGCCGGCCTGTGTGACCACAGCGCCCCCTGCTGCCTCAGAGTAGGGGTGCATCATGGGCACCAAAAGGCGAGAGAGCAGGCAGGCTGACCTCTGGGGGTGACTTTCCCAAGATTGGGGGTGGCCAGCAGCTGGGGCCTGTACAGACAACCCCCCAATGTGGTTGAGAATAAGGTGACAAAGAGGGGCTCATGGCCCATGTCATTGAGTCCAGGAGGGACCCTCTTATGGGGTGACCCCAGAAATATGGCTGGGGGTACAGGGGGTCAGTGTAGAATACAGACAGAGGGTAGGCTAACGCCGAGTGTCGACAAGACCGACCTGGGTCCCCTATGCTGGGAGGGGTCCGTTATGGGCTCATGGACCCCCCCAAAAAACATGATGTATGAACAATCTTTTTTTTTGGTTATTCCTCATCCCAACATATTCTCCCATTGATATTTTTCAAAAATATATATTTTTATTGATTTCAGAGAGGCAGGGAGAGGGAGAGGGAGAGAGAGAAACATCCATGATGAGCGAGAATCACAGATCGTCTGCCTCCTGCACGCCCCCTACTGGGGATAGAGCCTGCAACCCAGGCGAGTGCCCTTGACCGGGAATCGAACCTGGGACCCTTCAGTCCGCAGGCCGACGCTCTATCCACTGAGCCACACCGGCCAGGGCCAGATGTTTCTCTCTCTCTCTCCCTTTCCCTTCCTCTCTGAAATCAATAAAAAATATTTTTTTTAAGAAAGAGAAAGGCACGGGGTGTCTGAAGACCGGATGGAGTGAAGGTTTGGAGCTGAGGCCATCCTGGGTCAGGGGGGCCTCCCTCCAGGGACAGGGTCCTTGTCGGACACAGAAGAGGAGACGCAGACACAGAGGAGCAGCCACGTGGAGACGGAGGGAGGCAGAGGCGGGAGTGAGGGAGGCGGCCACCAGCCCCGGGGACACCCCGATCTCAGACATCTGGTCTCCAGGATGGAGAGATGGGAGGGAGGTGGCCACCAGCCCCGGGGACACCCCGATCTCAGACATCTGGTCTCCAGGATGGAGAGATGGGAGGCAGGCGGCCACCAGCCCCGGAGACACCCTGATCTCAGACGTCTGGTCTCCAGGATGGAGAGATGGGAGGCAGGCGGCCACCAGCCCCGGGGACACCCCAATCTCAGACGTCTAGTCTCCAGGATGGAGTGATGGGAGGGAGGCAGCCTCTAGACTCACCGAAATGCAAGGTGGGGGTCCAGTCACTCCACCGCTCACTGTGCACGAACTTTACTCTCGCCCGGATGGTGTGCCCGGCTCTCATGGACGAACTGGGCAGCAGGTACACGTTCTCCTCGCTGCCTCTTAGGAACACCTTTCGGAGAATCAAGGACCTGCCGTGAGCACCATGGGGGACACGGCCCGGCCGAATGGGGGTGAGGGAGGACGCGGGAATTCATTCCCAGGTCCCAGGCGAGCAGGAGTTTGGGGGATATTGTTCCTCTCGCTACAGCTTGAACTAAACATGTTTAGAAGCCCGGCCGGTGTGGCTCAGTGGTTGAGCATCGACCTAGGAACCAGGAGGTCAGGGTTCCATTCCCCGTCAAGGGCACAGGCCCGGGTTGGGGGCTTGATCCCCAGTAGGGGGCGTGCAGGAGGCAGTGGACCATGATTCTCTCTCATTATGGGTGTTTCTCTCTCCCTTTCTTTCTCTCTGAAATCAATAAAAATCTTATATAATAAAAGCCTAATATGCTATGTGTCTGGTTGATTGGTTGGCCGTTCAACCAATCAAAGCGTAATATGCTAATGATATGCTAAGGCCGCTCAACCACTCGCTATGATATGCACTGACCACCAGGGGGCAGACAGTTGACCAGTCGACCAGTCGCTATGACGTGCACTGACCACCAGGGGCAGATTCTCCGACCGGTAGGTGAGCTTGCTGCTGGGGTCCGGCCGATCGGGACTGAGCGAGACGGGCCGGACACGCCCTGGAGCCCCCCTGTGGCCCAGATC